ATTTAGACAAGCTAATATATTGGTTCGATCCTGGGTTTAATTTGCTGGAGCAGCAATTGACTGGTAACCTGCACCAGTAGTAGATGGATTCCTCTCAGTGGAATTATTTAGTTTAAATATTTTAAGCCTTTTCTAAACATGTCTTGTAACCTAACAAACTTATCTGGAGGCTCACTGGAGCTGTTTCAATACTGGCATAATGACACCACAACCTTAAATATAAAGACCACCAGACTCCAGATGTGAAATGTTTAAACAGCTTTTACAAAAAATAAGGTTCCAATCATTGGCACCCCTGTGACTGAATCTATATATTTGAAAATGTATTAAATATAGAGGAATACCTACCTTTTATTTACTTTTTATCTCATTTAATTTACAAAAATAACTTTGTAGCACCTCTGTTAATATTGTCAAATGAATGTGATGTAGTTATTTTTTAGCATGACTGAACTCATAATAGCAAAAAAAACATGTAATTTGTGCAATTCCAAGAAAAACTTGATTTGTTTTTTTCCCTTCTTTTTGTGGTAAATTGCGGCGGAAATGATGAGCATGCAATACCTGCATGTTTGTTTTCGATAATAGTTAAAGATTTATGGTTAATTGGCTTTACTTTTATGATGATTCACAGTAATTTAATGGTTTGATATAAAAACATTTGTTTACTGGTTAAATCTGCATCATCACTGTCATTGTGCATTAATATTAATGTAAGTTTTGACATTTACTGAGCGTCTTATTCATTCACCAACATCACAACTGTCATTTGTTGATATTGTGACCATAACTGGCAGCAATCCTGAAGGCATTTGTGACGTGTTATATCATAGATTTCTCAGAAATATAAACTATTATTAAATAACATTATTATTAAAACACTTTGTCAACTTTTACCTTGGAGCAAATTCATCTATGGTTAACCCTGCTTTCAGTCCAGTGCGGCAGTACTCCAGGCCATTAGCAATGGTGTAGGCTACTTCCAAGATCGCATCGGCACCGGCCTCCTGAAGATGGTAGCCACTGATGGATATGGAGTTGAACTTAGGCATGTGCTGTGAACATGACCGTGGTAGTAAATCAGTTACACTGTGTTCAACAGCACCGGAAAAAAGGTTTCATTAAACCTGTGCTAGTACATACCTTAGAGGTATATGCAAAGATGTCTGCAATGGCGTGCATGGAAGGTTCCGGGGGGAAAATATAGGTGTTGCGCACCATAAATTCCTTCAAAATATCATTTTGAATCGTGCCAGTTAGTTTCTCTTTTGGAACGCCCTGCTCCTCTCCGGTGACAATAAACATTGCCAACACAGGGATAACTGCTCCATTCATAGTCATTGAAACAGACATCTTCTCCAATGGGATTCCATCAAAGAGCAACTTCATGTCCTCAACTGTATCTATAGCCACTCCAGCCATGCCCACATCTCCGTGGACCCTGGGGTTGTCCGAGTCATAACCACGGTGTGTTGGGAGGTCAAAGGCCACAGAAAGACCCTGCTGACCAGCTGAAACGAGAGGGTCAAAGAGTAGCGTAATAATTATTTCAATGCAAGCTTAGCAGAAATGTGAAAAACGTAGACCACAACAAAACCTACCCTTTATGTTGTCTTTATAGAACTTATTGCTCTCCTCAACAGTGCTGAATCCAGCATACTGCCTGATAGTCCAAGGTCTGTATGTGTACATGGTGGGATAGGGCCCTCTAGTGTAAGGAAACACTCCTGGCAGTTCATCAGCAACATCTTTTGAGTCTGTTTTGGTGTACACGGGCTTGATGTTAATCCCCTCAGGAGTGTGCCAGATCAGATCTTCTGGGTTCTTCCCCTTCAGCTGTTTCTTAGCCAGACTGGCCCATTCAGAATGCAGCTCAGCATGGTCCTGACAGGGTACTGAAGTATGGATCAGAGAGCAGTGTGTGAGGGATGAGGAGACTGAAGTTCTAACCAGGTGCCGGGCAGCCATCGCTGCACATGCCCTCTGTGCGGTCAGCATGCTTACTGTTGGCTTAATCACTCACACATGGAAAAACCTGGAGGCAGAAGAGAAAAAGCTGCTCAAATCAGCAGTTGTAGTAAATTGGAACAATCTGGCAATTTCCAGTTAATGACTAATTAAATCTGTTTGACAGTTTAATACAAAACACAGCAGCAAGTGTCACTTCATAAACTAGAAATGTAAAGCTTACATGCAATGTTCTCATTTACTTTGGAAGATATTTTGCATGCATTGCTAGAGTTGTCTGTTTCATATCCTAAAGTGTTTTTGAAAGCAAATGAAATGATAATAAATCCATGTACTCAAACTTTATATCAGATTGTAAGTGCAGGTTAGGTAGTCTGCAGTGATGTGGTTAAGTTTACAGAGATGGGCCGTGTTGGACGGTTGCAGGGCAGACCGAGGTATTGTGGTCACGGCTAGGTTTGGTCCTGGGTACCAGCAGAGACATTTACAAGACAGAGATATGGCACTCAGTTCTAAAATGTAATTTATAAGATCATTTATATTTTAGATTGAAAGTTATTGGTAGAAGCATACCTACCAGAGGAGAAGCTTTTAAAATCTTATGTGTGCAAAGTTTGCAAACTTTTATGCAGATTGAATCAGATTTGACTGAATATTCTGCACATAAAAATTTATGGTTTGTTGACCTTTAAAATGCATTTCAATGTGACTAAATCAAGTTAAGTAACAGGCGGTGGACACCTGCTCTTTCGTGGCATATTTTAACTTGCAGATGATAAGAAATTAAAAGAGAAGATGCTAACTAGTTATTAGCATAGTGGTAAAGAAACAAACTGAATAAATACATGACTACATCACACTTTATCAAATTACAAAACCACGCGCTGTTTATGTCGCTGTGGTGGAATAAAACTACAGACTTATATGAGAGCAATATGCAAAAAAAAACAAAAGACTAGACTCGTTGCTAAGCTAAGTCAGCTAGCCGTAAAACGCTACCGAGCTGCACTCGTTTGCAATGGCGTAAACGTAAAAGCAAAACAGTGGTATACAACATGAGGCATATTGGTGCCTCGCGTGTTTAACAGTGAGTATTTTCAGAGATATTACAACAGAATTCTGACCTTGTCGTTTGTTTTCTTGTTCAGACTGATGACAGGCGTGTGTGCCTGTAGCCAATGGAGTTTGACAACAGAGACAGTCAGCCAATCGGTTGCGAGAATCAACTACAGTACCCTTTGACCTATTACACCGGAAATACATGTTACAGCAAAGATATTTGACTGTCGTAGAGATGAGCGACACAAACAGTTGTTAGTGTATGTGTATATTTCATTTGTTTTATTGGGTTATTCAGCTATTGATGTCGTTTCAGTTGTAGTAAACAATTAGTACAGTTGAAACATATTTTTTTATAATGACCACCCTTATTCCCTGTTTTGTCGAAGCGAAGACTGAGAATTCGTGTTTATTATTATTATTATTATTATTATTATTAGAGATTTCAGGAAAATTCAAGGTGATAAAAACAGACGTGCAATGACTGCATATAATTCAAACCCATAGTTAAATAAAAATGGTAACAACATATCACGTTTTGAAACTGAGATAAAGTAGGCCTACATGGACAAATCAGATTATGATGTATCTCCATATTAGTTCATCCGAAAAATGCTAGATGGGGTTGAATTCTCCCACAACATACTTAACTAACCACACCTTTATGGATCTTGGTTTGTGCATTGCGGCAGTCATGCTGGGACAGAAAAAGACCCTCCCAAAACTGGTCCCAGGAAGTTGAAACATCTGTATTCATCTTAATTTCTGGCCTGATGACCATTAAATACAGGTTTTAAAGGTCTTCTCCCCTGTATACAGATTTCTTGGCACACCAAGGACCTTTTTCTTGCAAAGAAATTTTATCCTTAAATGGAATAAGTATTAGTTTACATGTGTTTCTTGAAGTGATGAAGTCCTCCACATCTTGTCGTCTGAAGGCGAGATTCCAGATGTGATTAAATGCATGGTTTACTTATTTTACAAATAATTTGATTATGATTTCATAAAAATTTAACACAATATGTGAACTGGTAAACAGATGCCTCTGGAGGTAGCAATCAGTCATTCACAAATCACACAAAGGACACAGACTTTTTAACATAGTTCATGCCACTTTATTCAAGAGTTGGTCAATAAACTGTCATAGTAGCAATGGCTCTTAAAGACTTCTGTACAGTATTGATTGGGTTTGATTTTATAGGTTACACTTGCATGTTCACAAGGATTATAAAATATACCAAACACAGCAACATCATTCAGAGCATTCAGCAGGACAAGCCTTTTTTCAAAGTGGCGATGCAGACAGTGGTATATAATGCCCAGTAAATATACAGAGCAGACATTGTACTTTTAACCTATGTACCCTCAACTCCGCTGTTCAAACTGTAAGGCAATATATGTTTTGATTGCAATGTAGTACGGCTTTTCAAAGAGAACAGGGATCAACAAAATTTACAACATTAAATGAAGTTCAACAAAACAAGCATGTGTAACAAACAAACCAAAACGTGTGTGTGTGTATAAGAGTCTTGTACGACATGAACATTTTCTTGCAGCATCTAGCTCAAAACGATGGCAACGAAACAGAAGACGCGTTTAAATACCTAACTGAAGAAAAAGACGAAGGCTGTGAAAACAGAGAAACATAAGAGCAGGTGGCTGTGAGAGGCGTCAGTCGGGTATGGTCTCCCGGTTGTGGGTTATGGTGAATGCAGCCCCATTAGCCTTCTGCCTTTGCCTTTTACCCCATGCGTCACTCCAGCTTAAGCAGCTCCACATCAAAAATAAGGGTTGCGTTTGGTGGGATGACTCCGGGGTGGCCTGTTGTTCCATAAGCCATATCCGGTGTGCAGGTGATTTTAGCCCTCTGGCCCAGGCTCATCTGCAGCACAGGAGGGGAGAGGACAGCAGAACACACTGAGTATTTATGTGCATTTTCTTGTACTTTACGCCTACGCCCGAAAAGTCCCTTGTCACAGAACACAAAACACTTTTTGACTTGTAAATTAATACCCTATTCAAGTGTCCCAGTAAACAATAACAGTGTGACAGTTGGCAGGCAAACATAATACCAGGAACCTGAAACACAAGCAGATATTCGGAACTCAGGGCTTTTGTTTGCGTACTTTACCAAGAGGCCCGACCACAAGTAAAATATGAGAAACTGCATAGTTTATTCTCCTTTCATAACAGATCTTGGTTTCTACTCACTGCAGCTGTAAAAGACCACTTTCAAGCAGACAGCAATCAAGTCAGCTACTCAGCATTACATACACAACTGCAGAAAATAAGTAATGTCAGACTGCTGTTGCTGTTGATGCTGTGACTCCATTTGTCCTCATTCATCTGTTTTCTCTAACTGAAAACTCTGTAACTGTGTATTTTCTGTGGCTGCCATTATCATACAAGAGCTGAAGGAAGGAATGTGTTACAGCTGAACCAATCTGAACTCCAATAGCTACAGTAGAATCTGTTTTACAGCCTCCCTCTCATTGTTGCTGACCACTGCAGTACACCTAAGCACAATTTAAAAAACAAACAACTGCAGTGGTGCACCTGTTCACTGTATGAGAGCACCTTCAGAATTGCAACTAACTGTTAGGTATGATCAATTAAAACCTGGCAGTATAAACGAATAAATGAAGTTCAATATGTACTTAGAACATGGAATGCATAACGTACTGCTTAATACTAAAAGACAAAACAAGCAGGGCCTCAACCTTCCTCTCTTACCTGTGCTACTCCTTCTTCCCAGCCTTTAATGACCTCGCTATGTCCAATCTTGAACTTGAAGGGCTTGTTCCTGTCTCGCGAGGAGTCGAACTTTTTCCCGTTCTGCAACATACCTGCCAAAAAAACATATGAAAACAAAATTTAGAGGCAAAATAAACTCAAAAATCAAAAGTGCATGGGCATAGTTAGCTGCTGCAATAACCAGGAATTTTTCTGGTGGGACTTCTTGGGTCTGTTTCAACTTCTTAAATGAACAGAGGAAATGTGAATCAGGAAGAACTGGCCTGGTTTAGTGGATTCTTTTTAAAGTTAACTAGGCCATTGCTTAACTGTATGTAGACCACAGCGAGAGAAAGGGGTAACAAAGGCAAAGCGGGACTCAGCTCCTTCAGAACAATGACTGACCATTCAGGCATGACAGGGCTGTTGTTGCTGTGGCGGTTAAACTACTAAAGGCATGAAAACACTAAATCATTTCATTAGCCACAATCTCAATCCCTGTTCTTTTACTCTGATAGGTCGTGAACTTTGGGAACCGTTGGCGGCCAGAAAAAAGCAACAGCAGCAACTTAATGGTGTTTGTTATTTTCTCTGCACAATCTATTGTTGTGGAACAGGAAACTTGTAACTGCAAACAAAGTTCAAATAACTAAGATTAGAGATTCAGAGATTATACAATATAATGCAATGATGTGCATTACCAACCAATATAATAATGTGTTTTATTTCAAGTAATTAACATATTTAATATAATAAGATTTTAATAATAATAATATTTTGTCCTCCATCCTCTAGAAACACAGATTAAAAGGTTTCGTTTTTACATAAATAAATTAAATAATAAAAAAAAAATAATAATGATCCGCTATCACTTTGGAGGTTGTTCTGGTACATTATTTTATCTCTATGTCATAGTGTGAATACTTGGCATTTAAAGCTGGTGTTAGCTGAAGTTTAGTTACAGTGTCTTGCTCATCCAGTCATATGAAAGTTGGTACTGTACTCCTTCTCCACTTTCATTCCCCCACTAAACTTAGAAGGTCCATCATTTCCAAGAAGTCCAGTAGCCCAGATATGAGCGGGCTGGGCCAGGTCCAGCTGCGGAGTCATCAGGTTCACACCCCCTGGTGAATACCACCTGCTGCAGGGCATTCAAGTAGCAGAAACACAAAACCTTCTTGCAGAAAAGTCGTTTGAGTTTCTAGCAGCAGTTGGCTGCACACTGAAGAAAAACACTGACACAGAAAATGCATTTCAGCTAAACTGAAATGCATTTTTACAGCAGTGCATACTCCTGCAGGTTGGGGCTGTCTCTGTGCAGTTTGCATGTCCTCCCTAAGCCTATGTGGGTTTCCTCTGTGTGCTTCGGTTTCCCCCCACATATAACAAACCTGTTTGTTAGATTAATCAGAGATTACCTGTCTATCTCAGCCATGTGATAGAGCGTTCAGGATGAACCCCAATTCATTGCCCTGCATCTGTTGTAACTGGTTTCAGTTCACTCCAAACTCAAAGATGGAAAAAAAAAATACTGGTGGCTGCCAGTGCTACCCCTCAGCTTCCAAGTGGGTATCAATTTGTTTGGTAGTGTATATATAGTACAGTATCAATTTCAAAATCGTACGTCACCTTTTTCTCAACTCATCACATTCACAAGATTTTCAGAAAACTTGACCTCTGACCTAGAGGTCACTGAGATTTGAAGTCGTCTGATATTTATAGTAGATGCAACCACGGTATCAAAATCCTGCAATTCCTCTGTGACAGGAATGATAGACCGAACCACATATTTCACTCTTTACACACTTCTTTATTCCGGATGTCGCTTCTTAGACACAGCCGGAGCTTAGCTGACAGCCACACACAACAACAACAACAAACCCCAACCTCAGGTCCCGGCACGTTTAATATAGGGGAGGCGTGATGAGCTGATGGAGCTCAGGTGTGTCAGCCTCCCCCACAGCCGTGCCACGAACCACGCCCCGCCACAGCTTCATTCTGGAGTTATCCCAGTCACAAGATTTTAAGAAAACTTAACCTCTGACCTTGGCCCTGAGGTCGAGGTTCAACCAGCCCTGAAATTTTTATTAGATGCACCGATGCGCCTCCATTGAGTCGTTCTCAAGTTATCGCATTGACAAACTTCTGTGTTCACGCCGCCCACCCACCCAGTTGGATGACGACAATACCCCACCGTGTTTTTACGGCTGATGTGTAAAAAATTGATGGACTGTGACACAACAGAACGCAGACACAACAAACACACTCATGCTCAGTGTGTCCTTCCTGGCCGGGAGGGCCACCCCAATGGAAAGTGGGCCGGCCTCTGGTGCTGGCCCCCCGCCCTCCGTTGTAAAGTGAAAATTTACAAAAACAAGGCAGAGGCTCAATCAATACACATCCTCAAAATATCATCAAT